CCGCACTAAGTATATTTCATGGTTTGGATTCCACATATATCATTGAATATACAACACGCTCCTGCAACCAGTCCTGTTTTCTCAACTCAACTCATTTAGCCAAGGTTGATCCTAAATTCCTACGACCTTTCTCTTTCTCTTCGACTGGTTGACATTCCTCCTTTTCTTTACAATCAATAAATTATTTCTCTTGCAAATCTAGCTGACGACATCTTCACATCGACCGCTCCTCTTCTGGTTTTCCACTGGTGTTAATTTCGCCGCGAATTTTCTTTTCTTTTTCTTTCTTTCTTTCTTTTTTTTTTTTTTTTTTTTTTTGTTCTAATATCACTAGCTATTATACCAATTATTTTTCATCGTGCTTGTCTTGGGTCTCCCTCTCCCTCTCCCTCCCATAGCTTCGCTTTCCTCACCCATTCTTTTTCCCATGCCAAATATCGAATATCTCTCACCCCTTTTTCTCCCTTCAGGATCTCCTTTTTACATCTTGGTTCCTAGGCGCGAATACGTGGTATGACATGAGGCCTTCACCTTATTTGGTCATAGTGTTTTTGCATGAAAAGAATCAAGGGCGACTAAAAAAAAAAAAAAAACACCGAAGAGAAAAAGAGGAAAAACTATAGATTTACCCTGCAGATGAACAGGATAGTTAACACCACTGTGCGCAAGGTTTTTCACCCCCCTGCACCAAGGCGCAGTGGGGTTTTCCTAGCTAGGCATATGGTAGCAGAACCGCATATCCATTGGATGAAGGCGGAGTATAATAAATAATAATAATAATAATAATACCTTAGTTCGACCGTATATTTTAGATGGACTAATGGGAATATAGATAGAGTATGCAGCGTAGCGGGAGGGGGTTGGGTGGTGTGGTAAATTAGACGACAGAACGATGTTGGAGCGTCGGGGACTGAAAGAACGGAGCGGACGGAGGTTGGGTGGGAATAATGTATTGCATTATATTGATAAGCAGATGGTTCTACTGGGAATCTCCTGGCCTTGGAAGGCGGGTATAGATAGATAAGCAAAGACATATATCTGCTGTGAGTCTATATTGTCTGCAAGTTGAGAATGGCGAGTGGATGGAGGAAGCAGTGGGCTGTTGCCAGATGGTCGTCAGCAGTAGACGAAAACACCATTTTAGAGAACTCCCCTTTCTATATGAGAACAGCAGGAGCTATTGTACAGTACATATAACGAAAACAGAAAAACGGGCAAATGAACTGTGTTCTTCCATCCTGCCACCCCCCAACCAGCAGACAGGCAGAAAGAATTTGGGATATCGTATTCTAAAAATAAATCCTATATCATTCATATTTCATGTTAAAAGGGAGGGAAAAAATCGAACGAAAACCAGAAACAAGTGAAGAAGATGACAACTAGGAAAAAAAGGGACAAACGGAAAACCACTATCAAACCAATCCCACCGCCTCCCTCGCCATCTTTAAATCGTTTCCTCGAACCCCGACATCATCCAAATATAACTTAAATGTCTCCAAAAGCTCCGACAACCCACTCCTTAACGCCTCTTTGATCATCTCTACCTCCTCCACCCGCCGCGCCTTTTTCTGTATCTCCACACCGGCGTTTGTAGGAGGGAAATCAACGTCTGTCCAATGGATATCCAACCCGCCATCATCAGCGCTAGTAAAGGACTCGAGAGATATTATAGTCTCTGTAAACAGGTGCACGACAGCGGCAATATCCGCCTGCACTTTTCCAAACTGGTCCTCTGCTAGACTCGCGATGAGGAGGCGAGTGAGAGATTCTACCGCATCAATAATTGGGGAGAGACTGGCATATGGAGTGCCGAGGATGATGATGCGGAGTCGCCGTGCGTAGGATTGGCGGAATGGTAAACCTACGAGAGAGCTGAGGAATTTGTGGATTAGGGGGTGTGTGCTGCGTCTATCTGAACTAGATGAGGAGTGGGGCCCCCTGAGGAGCTTGAGCTCATGGGCTGAGGAGGATATGCGCTTTTTCCGTTCCGGGCTGAGGACAGCCGTGGTGGCACGGTTGAAGATGTTGCGGGCTTGGTCACGGGCTGCTGGTGTCCAGTCAGGAGATTGGCCGTAGGATTTAGCTACAGAGCTGAAGGCTGACTCCAATTTTTCGGACCCGGTCGCTGGCTTGGATGAGGCAAGGAAGATGTTGTCTTCTCGTGGAGGGGAGGTTAGGCGAGGCAGGGTGTGAATAATGGCCGGTTGTCCATCGATGTTCCTATTACTATCTGATCTGGGTAATGTAGAGTTCGGACCCACCAGGGGTGTGGGGTGTCGATGTTCATTTATTCGCGCGGTTATTCCCTTGATAACATTTGTCGAAGCGGAGAAAATTTGGGTCCATGCTGGACCACCGTTGCGATCGATGTCAGCAAAAATTGCTTTGCGGCGCTCCGGATATTGTTGGCTTATCAAGCACAATTCCCAGAATGCGAATGTTCGGACGACGTCCTTTTTCGCGTTCAATCCGTTTATCAAGCTGCCATTCGGGTCTTTGGATTCGTTTGTCAATGGCTGGCCTCTTTTCAAGGGCGCCTGGCCCAAAAACGTTGAAAACAAAAGGTTAGACACCTGCCACAGCATCACTAGAAGCACGCCGGTA